AGAAAACAGGTCTTTGATAGCTTTACATGTTTCTTGAACACAGGGAAAGCCAGTCAGTAAAGTTCCTTGTGGCCTAAAAGCAGAAACATCTGTCAGAGGCAGCTTGCTAGGCTGAATATAGCAGCAGGAAAGCCCAACTGATTAACTCCATCCTCTTCCTAACATGTTTTTGTCGTTCCCAGAAATCCCTAGGAAGGGCTCCTGAGGACACTGGCACCATTACAAACCAGCCATAATTCTGTAAACAGAGAGATCAAGGAATCATTATCCTAACCGCAGTTCACCTCTGGCATCCAGTTTGCATAATTCACACGTGCTTCATCTTCTCTCCCTTAGCCGTGGGACAAGCTTGTAATTTAGGGAAAGAGGAAGAGCCCATGTTCTGATGAAGGAGAGGATAAAGCTGTTGTTGTTGTGAGGAGGACTCGGGGGTTGGGGTCCATATAACCTTGCATGTAGGCTGGAGCTGGGGTAAATGGTGGGGAAGATTAGAGCAGTAATACAGTAGAGGCAAGAAGCTCTTCCAGTGTGGCTGGGCTGATGCTCCTCCATACAAACAACCACCAGGGCCCTTCTCCCACTCCCTGCTCTTCTCATCCATATTTGTCCTAACAAGGAAAGCAACCAGCAATTTCTCTTCATTGTTTTTCATGTTTTCGTCTTCTTTCATTTCTTCTTACAGTAATCCCATGGGATGAAAATGCTTAAGAGGAATAGCCTTTTCTATCCATCCCCTCCTCTGCATCAATTTTTGTCAAGATGCAATCAGACAAGGTAGTAGATAATCTCATCCAGGCTCCCTTTTCCACAAAAGGTTGGACTAGATGATCTTTCGAGGTCCCTTCCAACCTGAGCTGTTCTAAGACTTCATATCTGGTATCAAGCCACAACTTTGCCTCTGACATGATGTACAGCATGAGAGAGATTGCATTCTCGGTGGGAATAAGGGATGACTACTTGGCAAACAAATGCAACATCTCATTTTAAGAGTTGTGTTAGGGAAATACACATTTCCCATCATGTAGCTTTCTTTTTTTCCCCCCTCACTGGCACATTTCTGCAGTATACAAATGTATTAACTCAGAACAATTTAAAAGTTACTATTTTTAAAAGGTATTAAGCAACCTGGATGCCTTTCAATGCATTGTAATCAAATTTTTTTTTTTATTTGTACAATCGAAAATAACTTCAGTTTAGAGTTCAGATTAACATATAATTTAATAAGTTTCTTCTATTTTCCCATGCCTGTTTACCCGAAGAAACGTTATTTTCACTGCTGTGTTTTGGACAGATATAAGGAGTTAATTCCACAATTTTTAAGAAATGTCAAAAACTAGAATTTAAGTTGTGATGTAGATAATTTCCTAAGGCCAGGCTCCTAAAGAATTATCTTTACTGACCACTCACCATACAGTATTCCTCCTAATTATCCATATGCTGCCTTTCGTCATGTCCGAAACTGTCAAGAATGATTACATTTCCTGTAAGCTACCTTTCAACTACTGCATTTTCATAAAACTGAGTAGATGCAAAATCAGATTGCTCTTGTGTTCAGATGTTGCCAGCAGACTGAAAGATGTAAGGAGAATTCCTTTATTGGAAATGTCTTTGTCATCTCCCCCTTTGTCAGCCTTGAAGGATACAGCAGTTCCAAGAAGGCATTCGCACTAAACTTCCTCAGGAGTGCCAGCACCTGGACAGTATTTTGACACCCTTTCAACTGAAATCTATGGAAATAATCATTCCGTGGGGACATGCCTCAACATTCTTACATATTCAGTATCGCCACACAGAGTATCATCTGCCATCCTGAAACCTTGCAGCTGACGAGGAAATATGATTGAGAACTTCTTTCACAGCTTTTACAGCCAAATAACAAATTATCTGCAATGCCTCTTCCTGCAGCATGCTTACATGGGCCTCGAAAACACCTCAAACTAATACTTGGTCTGATTTCCCATGAACTTCTAGACAGACTGATGTCTTTAGTTAATGTTAAGCATCAGCCACTGAAAATACTGATATGCTGTCAAAGTCAAACCATTTGACACCAGTACATTATCTTTATTTTTCCAAATACTGCTACTGCAGCTTCCTTATGATTTTAGAAATAATCAAATAGAAAACAGTCTATTCCCTTTTCTACTGCGTAAAAATCAACAACTAGCAAGAAACCTTTGTTGTTTTTGTGCTTTGAGGTATCTATTGCTCAGAGGAGTAAGAACCTCTTTTCAGATAAATCTTTGCTTTCTCTGTGAGAGAGGATCTAATATATTGCTGGCATACACAAAGCTCTCTTCCTAGAAAGATGAACTGTCTTACCTGTAGTTGGAAAACTACACTATTGCTTTCACCATCAAGTGATTATAGATCATACTACCATAGATTTTCAGCACATCTGCCACAGTGATATTTTCACATTTCTACTTTATAAGAAATGTTACTATTACTGCTTTGCTTTATTCCACTATACCACCTGATGTGATAGTTCACCATGGAACTTCTCCACAAATTGCAGGAAGTTTCCTGACAACTATTGCCAACTTTATTGAGCTACTCAATACTATTTCTTCACTTACTCTGGAAGGCTGAAAGTCTTTTTTTTTTTTTTTAGACATGTATCTGGACTTGTTGCAGGATTGTTGACACTACAGTTGCAGTCATGGTCACAAAACTTGTAGGGACCAGCTAAAACCACATAAATAGTAGTTAGCATCATTTTTAAGTCACAATCACTCTGCATCACACCTCCACTGGACCAGGTCAAGAGACCTTAGCTATGCTGCCTCAGCCAATATTTAGCTTGCGACAAGTCTGTATGAGAAAGTAATCTTCCAGTTTGCAAACTTTCTTATGCAGGGGAATAATTTCTGCAATTCCACAGCTGCTGTGTAAGCACATTCAAACATATTTACCTGCATTTTAGTAGACATGGAAATAATTTCTGTGTAATGTTCATAAACACAAGATCTTTGAACTTCAATTGTGCTTCATAAAGAGAAACTACTTTTCTTGGAGATGAAGAAAATACAACTTTGCCTACAGCAGAACGATGGGATGGGAAAATGAAAGACTTTGGTAGAAAAAATATGCAGCTCATTCACTCAGCAGTTCTTCAGAGAGAAATTCACGGCACTATGTGCAGTCTTTCCTGGATTGATACTTAATTCTGGGTAGATCCTGCTGCCTTAAAATAAGTTTTAGTCAGAGAGTCAGAGTCTGAGGGATTTACTACCCTGTGGATTTTTTATGTGTGTGTGAGAGAGTTGTGTGGGGTTTTTTTCTTGAGAGAATGAACTACCTCAGTTTTCTGTTTTTTCATTCCCTTTCAGTTTACAGATTACTAAAATTTATCCGTGAAAATGTGGACCTTGTGTTGGAAATTTACATCTTCAGACTTAATTTCACTACATATGTTTACCTCTTAGAAGGTTTACCTTCCACCTCCCACAGTTGAAAATGATAAGATCAAGTCTGAAAGGGAACCTACTGCTCTTTCCAGTTCTACTAGAAGAGTCTTCAAAATCCTCCCTCCGTAGTCACCTCAGAAAACATCAACAGCATAACATGCTGAGAATCCCTCAGGCCTTGAGTCATCCTCTATTTATGTTTCCAAAATTGGATAAAATTCTCAGAGTACTCTGCTGAAATCTCTTAACTGGCATTGCACAGAGTAAAACCCTACATGTTGAGTATTTGCTCTCTGTGTAGTCAGTAGTGATGTTTTCCAAAGTTTTCTCCCTTACATGCTATTTCCTCATCTGTGTTAGAGGCTTAAGGCAACATCATGTTTTCACAAGCAAAGTCTCAATAGGGAAGATTTATAGTTTCTTTTTTAAATTTCAGGGGGTTTATTGCAATTCTGAGATTTAAAAGAAAAAACCAGAAACTTTTTCTTCTAAGTATTTTGGTTAGTATGTGTTAAAATCTGAGATTTTTTCAGACTGAATTCACTTCTGAAAATGAAGTGATTTCTTGCCATTGCTTTGTGAGGGTTTGACTGATTCAGGCCTCTCCTTAATCCTGCTACAGATGAGCGAGATAGACATCCTCCAAAGCCACAGACATCTGATTGTGGACCAGCATGAACTCCTCTTGTTCCACCCAGTAGCTTCCCTCCCTGCAGTGTGCTGAGCACAGCCGTTAGGGATCCCATCCTTCAGCACACCTGCCGTCTCACTTCATGTGTCCCTTCTCCCATCCATTCCCCATACACTTGATTCCTGCTCCTTATTCCTCCCATCTTCCCTTCCCCATTTCCCTAGCCTGCTCCAAGGACTGCCACCTGCTTAGGCTTTCCTAGCTCTCAGGAGACAAACAGAGAAGGAATGAAAGTTTTTTTCCCCAGGATGATTCCTTTGTCACAGTCCTGTTCCAGCTTTCTTCCCCTGTCCCTCACACTCACTCTGCAGGGGGAACTGCAGCAGATGGGGAATGTCTCCTAAAATAAAGCTCAGGTGACAACCCAAATAGTGCAAAGCAAGACAGATGATGGGATACCTCAGCACAGCAAGTCAGGTACCAGGGAAGTGCTGTGCAAGGTATCAGAGACCCTCAGCAAAGTGCAGTCTCATGTCCTCTTCCCCCAGCTGAGACCCCAGGCAACTGGGGACACAGCATGACCACAGGCCAGGGTGACAGGCCACCTCTGCCACAGGATCCTGGACGGCAGAGACTCAGCCTGCGCTGGTGATGTCTGAATTTCTGGGCAGGGGGTAGGGAGTGATGTCGAGGTCCATGAAATTCCCCTGGTCTGGACCTATCCAGCATCATGCAGAACCATCCTCTTCCCTGGCAGGGCAGGGACTCAAAACCAAAACTGCCTGGCAGGACGCTGCCCCAGGACGTGGCCCGGCAGCTGCAGAAGCCACGCGGGCCTTCCTGGGGAGGCAGCAGAGCTCTGTCTCTAAGCCCCTGGAAGGGCTGCTCTGCCGAAGGACCCAGGACTAGCTGGTTTTGGTCTTTTCATAATCGGATGCCCACCGTGTGAGATGTGTGAGATGGCTCGACACCAGGCAGCAAGCGGAGGACTGTCTCTGGTGCGTGAGGGAACGGAGAAGGCACCGCGGATCGGGGCTGCTTTCGGCACCACGCTCTCAGGTGAGGACGTGGCCCCGCGCAGCCCTCACAGCCCCTCAGCGGACGGCGGCCCGGGCACAGTCAGGACGGTT